CTTAAGTCAGAAAGATAGTAAGGTAGATGGGTGCATGTCTTGCATGCAGCTAACCTGGGTTTGACGCCTGATACGGCACATGGTTCCCTGAGCACTGCCTGCTATGGTCCAAAAGCAACAAGAACAACACAAAAAACAGTGCTGCGTGTCCACATTTTAATTATACAGGTAATGCAATGGATGTCTTTCTTTTAGCTTTTTCTCTTTTAATAAAGCTTTAAAGAAAAAAAAAGTTTGCACTCTTGGTCCCATAGACATACACAGCCCTGTCTCTGCAATTTTTATCACAGATTTTGTGAATTTCCGTTCTTCTTACATATTTTTCACACTTTCACATACAGTTGTTTATGAGCAATAAGTAGCGATTTTGTTTCACTTTTTACTTATTGGTGTTTGTTGTTGTTGTTGTTTTTTGGGTTATTTTAGTTGCTGGGTTTTTAGCCCAGAATCTCACACATACTAAAGCCATTTTTTTAAATTTTTAATTACCGTTTTGCTTTTATCCTACAAATTATTTTTTGATCCAAAAAACTTCTGATCTATTTTTGTTTATAAAAGGCAGATAAATGCAATTTCTTAAATTGCTGTGGTAAACTGCTGTTGTAAGTGATAAAATACCTGTCATTTAGTGTTAATGGATAGTAACATTTCTCATGTCCTCAAGTAGGAAAAACAAAACATGATCTTTTGTTGTTTTTGTTTTTGAGCCATATAGGCTATGCCCACCCTCGCTCGGTGCTTATTACTACTCTGCACTTAGGGATCACTCCTGGCATCTCGGGAAACCATACAGGGTGCTAGGTTCAAACCCAGATCAACCACATGAAAGGCAAGCTCCCTGCCCTCTGGCCTGTCTCTCCATTCCCAACATGAACATTTTTGTGTAAGATTTCTCCCACCGTGTAACCATTTATTTTTTTTTTCTTTCTGGATCACACCAGCGATGCTCAGAGGTTGCTCCTGGCTCTACACTCAGGAATTACTCCTGGCGGTGCTCGGGGGACCATGTGGGATGCTGGGGATTGAACCCGGGTCAGTTGTGTGCAAGGCAGACGCCCTAGCCCCTGTACTATCGCTCCGGCCCCGTAACCATTTTATTTTAGCAGTTTACTTAGGTTTTGCCAAAGAGAAAGTTGTGTTTTCTGTTTTACCAAACACTGCATTAAGTCCTTTTTTCTTAAGTAGCTTTCCACTGTTTGTTTTTATACCAGATTCTTGGTGAAGCCTTAAGAGCATGTTATTAGGAAGGACTAATAATTTTTCTGTTTCGGGACATTCCTGAGGGGACTATATGGGATGCAGGGGATCAAACCAGGGTTAGGCACATGCAAGGCAAGCATCTGATCTCTCCAGCACCTACATATAATTTTAAAGCTCGAATATGGCTTCAGATGGCCCAAGTTCAAATCCTTGGCCTGTTCTTAATTCTTTAACCTCCGTTTGATCTCCTGATAATACCTTCCCTACTGGCTTTTCGGGAGGATTACTGAGATGAGTCATTGAAAGTAGTGGTGAAGTGATATGATATTCTCAGCTAAAGTTTACGGTAGGAAACAGACCTCCCGAGTGTCCCAGCTGTGCTTGTCTCCTTCCTGCCTGCCTACCCTGGCAGTGAGGCCCCTTTTCTAACCCTTTGGAAAGTCAGCCTCAGCCTGGGACACTTCAGTGTCATGGCACCTAAAGTTCCTACTATAAGAATGACCTGATCTGGAAAGGTTTCCTGGTGGTGGCTCTCTCCTGCTCTTCCAGGAAAGATGTATTGAGGCTTTAGTAGTTGCCAGGAAGAGAGAGGGAGCCCGCCTGTGTCTGTCGGACTGATACTCGGCGGATGGAGCCGTTGGACCCGCCATCACTGGACAGCCGTCCTGGCTGGGGATTGAATGAAGCTCTCCAGATCGTTTATCGGCACACAAGCACTGCTCCCCACCCCCCATCACAGCGTTCTCACTCTAGAGTAATAGTCCGTACAAGGGGCTGGAGCGATAGCACAGCAGGTAGGGTGCTTGCCTTGCACGCGGCCAACCCAGGTTCGATTCCCAGCATCCCATATGGTTCCCCCGAACGCCACCAGAAGAAATTCCTGAGTGCATGAGCCAGGAGTAACCCCTATGCAATGCTGGGTGTGACCCAAAAAGCAAGATAATAATAATAATAATAATAGTCCATACGAATCGGATGAAACTCAATATTTCTTGTGTTCTGTTGCCAAGCACTGTTTTTCAGCACTGTTTCCAGTGACTTGGACACTATTTTAGAGCAAGGTGCACTGAAAGGCTAATGACGCTCTCAAGATCACAGTGCTCTTAGGTGATGAGGCTGGGGTACAGGCCCAATCTGTCTGCCCTTAGAACTCATACCCATGTTTCCTGCACTCTGTGTGCACTGAAAACACAAAAATGAGTACAGCTCAGTTCCTACATGGAAAAAAGCAAAATGTTAACCCTTTAAGATAGAGAAAGCCGATGCAGAGGACCTGGGTTTAATCCCTGCCACTGCATGATCTCCCAGCACCACCGGGAGCCAACCCTGAGCACTGCCAGGTATAGCCCCAAGACTAGGGAAAAAAACCCCAAAAGGTAGGTAATGGCTTCCAGGAGCCTGGCAGTCACGCCCATGTACTACCTCTGGCACCATACATGCTCATTAATGGCCATGATCAATCTGGGAAGAGAGCAACAAGCTGCAGAGATGCCTCTGGACCCCAAAGCCACCATCCAGTTAAAAATTTTATCTCCAGCTGTATCACCCTATTTAAAATGACAGAATTCCTGGAGCGCATGACCACATTTGCAGCCACGCTACATCTCATACTTTATACTGCTGATGTACCAAGAGTAGCACACCACATTTAATTGAATGTGATGTAGAAAGCAAACGATCTCTTCTTTTTTTTTTTTTTTTTTGCTTTTTGGGTCACACCCGGCGATGCACAGGGGTTACTCCTGGCTCTGCACCCAGGAGTTACTCCTGGCGGTGCTCAGGGGACCATATGGGATGCTGGGAATCAAACCCGGGTCGGCCGCATGCAAGGCAAACGCCCTACCCGCTGTGCTATCTCTCCAGCCCCAAATGATCTCTTCTTGATCAAAAATACATATATATTAGCACACAAGGCTCAACCGATAATAAGTTAGTGATCTCGTATACGAGGGCTTAATGTAAGCTCCAGGGTGAGATGCAACAATCTCCACACACTTTCGTCTAAGCAAATTTTTTTGGATCATTTTTAGCGGATTATTCATAACAAGCAACACAAAATAAATTATTTAGGACCTGCTTTTGAGGCAGGCTTGGGTGGTGGTTGGGAAAATTTGAAATAATAGTAGTGGGGTTGATGTTGGAATATTGAATGTAATAAGTTATTGTGAACAACTTTTTGAAAAATAAAAATCAGTAATGGGTTGAAGAGATTAGTCAGGGGGTAAGGAGCTTGCATGGCATAGGCTAACTCCACTTTGGTCCCCAGCACCACATATGACCCCTGAGCACAGCCGGGAGTAAACCCTTAGTGAATGCCCTGCCACAGAGGCGGGGGTGGGGGGGGTGGGGGGGGTGGGAGGGATACTGGGACCCATGGTGGTGGAAAACGGGCACTGGTGGAGGGGTGGGTACCTGATCATTGTATAACTGAAACCCAAGCACAAAAATTTGTAAGTCTACACCTGTACCTCATGGTGTTTCACTAATAAAAATTAAAAAATGAAAATAATAAAATAAAATATATATTCTTGAAGAAAAATAAAAAAGTAAACCTTAGTACTGCCAAGTGTGCCCCCAAACCCAATCCCCCCAGAGAAAATGGATATGGTCATATAAAATATTTAAATAGGGGCCAGAGTGATAGTACAACAGATGGGGTTCTTGCCCTGCATACAGCCAGGGTTCAATCCCCAGCATCTCGTGTGTCCCCGAGCACCACCAGGAATAACCCCTGAGTATCGCCGGGTGTGCCTCCCCCCCACACACACTTTTATTTATTTATTTATTTATTTTCTTTTTGGGTCACACCCGGCGATGCACAGGGGTTACTCCTGGCTCATGCACTCAGGAATCACTCCTGGCGGTGCTCGGGGGACCATATGGGGTGCTGGGAATCGAACCTGTGTCGGCCATGTTGGCTGCGCGCAAGGCAAACGCCCTACCCGCTGTGCTATCGCTCCAGCTCCTTATTTATTTATTTTTTATTGCCAACCAAACTCTGTTACACTTTTGTTTTATTATTTTTTGGTTTGGTACCTGGCGCTTCTCAGGGATCACTCCTGACAGTGATCAAGGGAGCATATATCCTGGGGACTGAATGTGGATCAGCTGCATGCAAGGCAGACGCCCCACCCGCTGTGTTATCTCTGGCTCCTTATTGTCTGAGTACAAAGGAAACTGCCCTGTACCGAACGAGAACTAATGTTCCCAAGAGCAGGCGCCGCACTTTGAGTGAACTGGAGAGCATTTACCAAGCAGTTAAGATCAGCCAGTGGAGCTCATACCGGGAACGAAGGATTGGGTCAGGGCTGAGTCTATAGGACTTTGCAAGCCCGAGGAAGGGGCAGTCCAAGGGTGGGAACGCAGACTTTCAGAAGCTTCGCAATGAAGGGGAACAGATGATGAATATGCGGGATCAAGAGAGCCCTCCCAAGGGGGGGGGAGGGGGGAGGGGGGAAGGGGGACTGTGTCTCTTTGACTCACATCTGCCCTCTGCAGTACCCAGAAGTGGAGTGGTCTGGGAATGACATCATCCTTATTACTGGGAAGTAGGCAGAAGGGCCACATTCAGGACGTGAATGTGGACCGTGGGCTCTGGTGGGAAGGTTGGAAGTTAGTGTGCAGTGAAGCTGGGGTGGAGGGCATCGGAACAGGAGCAGCCTGGTTGTGGTAAATGATTCAGAGGGAGAAATGTGAGAGAGCCCTCAATTCAGGGCCTCTATGTAGTGGGGGCACTGCTTCCTGGGGGCTGAACGACCATGCAGGGTTGAATTCTCATGCTGCGTCCTTTCTCCCCACAGTGACCACACCGCCTGCCAGGGAGCAACACAATGGAGGAGTCACAGTCAGAACTCAGCATGGAGCCCCCTTTGAGCCAGGAGACTTTCTCAGACCTGTGGAATCTGTGAGTGAAGGAAGGTCCCATGCAGCTGATAACTGCGTTCACCCAGTCTAATCCCCAGCACCCTTGTAAAGAGGTTTGTGGGAAGCAGATAACAGGATAACAGTACTGACTTTCTCCTCTTCTCTTGCAGGCTTCCTAAAGGCAACAACGTTCTGGTAAAAACTAGAAGCAGAAAGGGGCGGGGGGGGTGAGGGGGGGGGAGGTATGTGGAAAAGAGGGGTGAGGAGGGGGGACTGTGTCTCTGACTCACATCTGCCCTCTGCAGTACCCAGAAGTAGATGACCTGCTGCTGTCCCCAGAAGATGTTGAGAAGTGGCTGGATAAATCGTCAGAGGAAGTTTCCAAAATGCCAGGAGCTCCTGCACCAGTCGCCCCTTTGCCAGCTGCCCCAGTACCAGCCACCTCCTGGCCCCTGTCATCCTTTGTCCCTAACCAGAAGATCTACCCAGGCTGCTACGGTTTCCGCTTAGGGTTTCTGCAGTCTGGGACGGCCAAGTCTGTGACTTGCACGGTCAGTGGTCCTAGGGGCTGCCTCCCTGTTCCATGCATGAGCATCGGCTTACTCCTGGCTCCGCACTCAGGAATCAAGCCTGTTGGTGCTTGAGGGACCATATGGGATGCAGGGGACTAACCCTCAGTCAGCTGCATGCAAAGCAAATGCCCTCCCCACGGTACTGTCGCTCCGTATCCAAGCCTGACCATCTCCTCCTGGGCTTTCTATTCTCTTCAGAGCTTTGGGATATCTCTTCAGCCCTGTATTGTTGTTTAACCCATTTAATTGGTATTTTTATCCTCTGCCTGTATTTCCCCCTTGGTGCTGGACTTTTATCTTTTTCATGATACTCTTTGCATCTCTCCCAGGGGATGGATATGGGACTTTCCTCCTCTTTGCTTCACTTGTGAATACGGTTCTTGGCTCCAGCTCCCAGCCTTTCCACCTCCAGCTCCCCCTGCATGCCCCAGGCGGCTTCTTAAATGTTGCTAGTTCATTGGACCCAGCGCACACAGATTTGTCCCCTAATCTTCCATTCTTTTCCTGCAGTACTCCCCTACCCTCAACAAGTTGTTCTGCCAGCTGGCAAAGACCTGCCCTGTGCAGCTGTGGGTAACCTCACCACCCCCACAGGGCACCCGAGTCCGTGCCATGGCGATCTACAAGAAATCAGAGTTTATGACAGAAGTGGTGCGGCGCTGTCCACACCACGAGCGCTGCACCGACTATAATGACGGTGCGTGGGCAGGGGCTGCGGAAGGGACAGGGCTGGGACCGAGTGCGCAGGCCCTTCATTCATCCCTGATTGTTCTTAGGTCTGGCTCCACCTCAGCATCTCATCCGAGTGGAAGGAAATTCACGCGCTCAGTATTTAGACGATGAAAACACTTTCCGACATAGCGTGGTGGTGCCCTATGAACTGCCTGAGGTCTGGTTTGGCACTTCGGTTTCTGGGCAGCGTGGGTTGCTGGGGTTTGTGTGTGGCCTTCCGGGAGGGAGATAAAAGTAGGGGTTGTTTGTTTGTTTGTTTGTTTGTTTGTTTTTCACTACATCATTTTTGTTTTTCCTATATCTTTTTCTTCTTTTTTTTTTCCCCTTTTTTGGGTCACACCTGGCAATACTCGCGGGTTACTCCTGGCTCTGCACTTAGGAATTACTCCGGTGCTCAGGGGACCATATGGGATGCCCGGGATCAAACCTGGGTCGGTTGCGTGCAAGGCAAATGCCCTCCCCGCTGTACTTTCACTCCGGCCCTTTTTTCTATATTTTATTCTGCCTCCCCACCACAAAGAAAATGGGTTATCTGCATTTCGTGGTTAAGCATTAGGCTTTCCAAGATTGCCTCCAGGACCTGACAGCGGCCTTTGTTCTCTCTCAGAATGACTCTGACTGTACCACCATCCACTACAACTTCATGTGTAACAGCTCCTGCATGGGGGGCATGAACAGGCGGCCCATTGTCACCATCATCACTCTGGAAGACTCCAGGTGGGCACCCCCACACTGCCCTTCATTGCTTTGCGCTGTACTGGTACCCATCCGTCCTTCATACTCCCTTCCCTTATATAGGAATACCCCTGCTCCTCCTTCCTAGTTTTCTGATGTCCTTTACCTGCTTCTCAATACACCTGATGCTGGAGCTGGGGCTGCGCTGAGATGAAGGTGCTTGGGAGCAGCTGGACCCACATTCTGGGCGGTGGGGCCTACTTTCCTTATTGCCTCCTGCTTCTTCCTCTGGGTAGTGGCAATCTACTGGGACGGAGCAGCTTTGAGGTGCGAGTCTGTGCCTGTCCTGGGAGAGACCGTCGCACGGAGGAAGACAATTTCCACAAGAAGGGAGAATCGCGGCCCCAGCCACCCCCTGGGAGCGCTAAACGAGGTAAGCAAGCAGGAGGACAGGAGGCAGAGGAGGAGAACGGGCATCATGGTTCCACCCCAAAATTTACTCTTTGCAACTTTTCTTGCCTCTTTCCCAGCACTGCCCACTGGCACCAGCTCTTCTCCCCAGCCAAAGAAGAAGCCACCCGACGAAGAGTATTTTACACTTCAGGTACCACATCTGGAAGAAGGAGATACATAGTCCTTTTTTTGTTTTGAGGCCACACCTGGCAATGCTTAGGGCTTACGCTGACTCAACACAGGAATCACTCTTAATTGGCACCTTGTGGGGTGCTAGGGATCAAATCCAAGTTGGCTGCATGCGAGAAAAGCATGAAGCCCACTGTATGTATTGTTAATCCTAACAGATAGTCTTTTTGTTTGGTTGGTTGGGTTTGGGGTTTGGTTTGGATTTTGGTTTGGGGCCACACCCAGTGATGCTCAGGGATTACCCCTGGCTCTGCACTCGGGAATTACTCCTGGCAGTACTCGGGGGACCATATGGGATGCTGGGGATTGAACCCGGGTCAGGCACACGCAAGGCAAATGCCCTGTCCACTGTACTATCACTCTAGCCCCCCAGATACATAGTGTTAAGGGAAGAAAATACATAAACATGACGAATGTCTACTTACTAATTTATTTAACCTCCGTTCCTCTATTCATAACCCTGACTTTTTTTTTAATTTTAATTTAATTTTTATTTTGCTTTTTGGGTCACACCCAACAATGCATGGGGATTACTCCTGGCTCTGCACTCAGGAATTACTCCTGGCAGTGTTTGGGATGCTGGGAATCGAACCCAGGTCGGCCACATGCAAGGCAAACACCCTACCTGCTGTGCTGTCGCTCCAGCCCATTGCAGCTCTGAATCTTGGGTTAGTGTTATTAGCTTGAAAGACTTATTTCAGGGGTTGAAGAGAGTACAGTGGGTAGAGCATTTGCCTTGTGTGTAGCCTATGGGGTTCAAACCTGGCACCCCATATGGGGCCCCCCCAACCCCCCGCCAAATCCTGCCCAAAGTGATTCTTGAATACAAAGCCAGGAGTAAACCCTGAGCACAGCCAAATGTGGCCCCCAAAAGAGAGATTTTTTTTCAAGCTCTAACCCTCAAAATGCTATTATCTTTCCTTTTCTGTGGGAGGAAGGACTATACCCAGTGGTGCTGAGTGTTTACCCCTGGATCTTTGCAGAGAGATAACTCCTGGTGGTGCTGGGGGGACTCTTTGTAGTTCCAGGGATTAGACCCAGATTGGCTGCATGCAAGGCACTTGCCTTATTCGCTGTACTATCTCTCCAGCTCCTCAGAATGCCATTTCATTCTAACTGCTTTGCCTACAATAAAGGCATTTGCCACCAGAGGCAGTAGTGACTCCTGATTGTACCTAATTCAGAATGCCAGCCTGTAATTAGGGCATTTGCCTCCAGGGGCAGCAGTGACTACTGGCTATCCCTAACTTCAGAATGTTTTGCATACAGGAGGCCTGGGTTGGGTCCCCAGCATCACATGGTCTCTCTAGCACTGCTGAGTGCAATCCCCTGAGTGCCAGGGGGTATGTCCCACAATTTCAAAATAAGAGGCTAAAAAAAAAAAACCTGTCTAAATTCTATGTCTTGCCTAATATTTTTTTCTTCCACTCTGTCCCTGCTGCAGATTCGTGGGCGCGACCGGTATGAGATGTTCCGAGAGCTGAATGATGCCTTGGAGTTCAAGGACATGCAGGCTGGGAAGGAACCCGGGGGTAGCAGGGCTCAGTCCAGGTGAGTAACCCGGGGCCTCCTTCTCTTCCATCCTTCCTGTGTTAGAAGGATGCCAGATACCATTCTATAGTATCTTCAAGGTAAAGACAGCTAGTAATCATACTCCCAGCCCTACCTCATACAGTCAGGCACCTTCTAGGCCCAGAATTCTTGTTTGTCAAATGGTGTAAAGAAAGAGTAAGAGCGGGCCTGAGGCAACCGCACAGCAGGTAGGGCAATTGCCTTGCACGCGGCTGACCCGGGTTCAATTCCCCGCATCCTGTATGGTCCCCTCAGCACCACCAGGAATGATTCCTGAGTGCAGAGCCAGGAGTGACCCCTGAGCTTCACCAGGTGTGACCCAAAAAGCAAATTTAAAAAAAAGAGAGAGAGATTTATGCACACAGTTAATATCTAAAATGATTAACGACACTATGACAGTGAGAGTTGGAAATGTTCACTCTGGACAAGAACGGAGTGCTGAAAGGAGGCACAGATAACCTTCCAGTGCCTGTGTTGCAAACCATAATGCCTAGAAGGAAAGAGGGGGCATGGCGAGGGGACAGAAGTGCCGGCTCTAGAGGCAGGTGGGGAGGAGCGTCGGGAGGGAAACTGGAGACACTGGTGATAGGAGATGTGCAATGGTGAAGGAAAGGTGTTGGAACATCGTATGACTGAAACCAAATCATGAACAGCTTGCGTATCGTACCTTGATTCAATTCCAAAAAAAGAGAGAGAATGCTTAGTAAATAATGCCTTCATTGATGGTGACCATTTTATTTTTATTTATTCTTTTTAGTGACCATTTTAACCTAAATTTTCCCTAATTTATTCTCAGACCCTTCAAAGCCTAGATCTAGGAAGAAAGGTGCTCAGAAGCTTAGTTGGATAATGTCATCTGCTTCCCACCCCCTTCTGTCTCCACAGCCACCTGAAGTCAAAGAAGGGGCAGTCAGCCTCCCGCCATAAAAAGCCAATGCTTAAGACAGAAGGCCCTGACTCCGACTGACAACGTTTTCTCTTTGGCACCCTCGCCTTCATCCTCGCCCCATCCCTTCCCTGGCATTTTTGGGACTCAGGTTGAATTTCTGCTTAGTGCAGGTGTGCCTCGGAAACGCCCTGGAATTCTTCCTTTTGCCTGGGCCTGAGGCACCACTAGAGAAGCTGGCTGGCACTGGGGGGTGGGGGTGGGGGTGGGGGGGGGTGACTGGGTTTTTCCAGCTTAGCTTTTAATGTTTTTACTGTGAGGAAATTTGGGAGAGGTAGAAAAACGTTCTTGTATGTAAGAACATTCTAGAATACACTGGGTCAGAGCACCAGTTCTCCACAATTCTAGCCAGGGAACATCTCAAATTATTTAATTTCTCCTAATCACTTTATTATCCACATTTTATAAAATGCTGGTAGTCAGACCTACCTCACTGGAATTGTGAGAATTCATGAAATAACGTGTTTTTCATTCATTTTTTGGTCCTAAAACTAGATTTTCCCACATAATCTCTGGAACTTCATGCCATCATGGGTGCTGATTATCTCTGTGCCATGGGTTGTTTCTATCATTGGGCAGCTGTTGGAGGAGGGAATTTCCTTTCCCTTCCTGTTGGCCCAGCTAGATCCTGTTTAACCACTAGACTCAACCCAGCCAGCCCCTAAGAGATGTTACTTCATCCCACAGCCCAGAGAATTTCATCCCTAGTGTAGGACCTAGTATATCTACCCAGATCTGTTTTACCTCCCTCAAATGCTCAGTTTGCTTCTTTTGCACTCTGTATTCATCACCCTCTCCCCTCCTCCTCCCTTTTTTTTAATCCATTTTTATATTTGTTTTTTATTTTACAATAAAAATTTGCTAGTGTGTGAGTGCCAGTTGACTGGAGCCCGTACTGCAGGGTGAGGAAGGAGGTGATGTTGGGAGGCGGATGCCTGAGTCCCCAGGGAGCGTGGGCTGTGGGCCCACAGCCTGGGTTCCGGGAGAAGGACAAAGGCTGGAGACTGGGTCGGTCTGCAGGCTGCATGACAACAAGGGAGGGGGCTCCATTCATAACTCTGGAACCAACCGTCCCTCCTCCCTCCCAGCAAGACTGGCACAAGTTCCCTCCTGCCCCTGCTTCTAGGATTTGGCCATTGCCTCCTCGGCAGCCTCTCACAGAGGATTATGGGATTTAAGTGTCTGATTTAGCAAGCTGAGCCTCTGGGGTGGCCATCTGCTCCACAGGAAAAGGGCAGAATACCTGAGTTCCTGAGGGGTAAATGGTTGGGTGCTCTTGGATCCAGCCGGAGCACTGCCAGTGAGGGCAGCTAAGGTGACGGCTGGGGGGTGGGGCTAGGGCCTTTCTTTCCAGCATCCCCTTATCCTGGGATTCATGCCAAGCAGTTGAATGAATTGAAGCTTTAAACTCTGCCAGGAAAACCTTTCAAAGAGCTTCTTGGGGTAGAAAGGAAAGTTGAGGTTGTGGAACCCAGCACCGCCCCTGCTGTTGCTCAGTGCTGCTGGCTCCCAGGGAGGGGGGTTGGGAGAAAGCACTCCCCGTCACCCACTGCCGCCTGTACCATGCTAGAAGAGGGACCAAACAGCAGGTGCGTGGATTGTCCTGCTCCGTCTGATCCAGCAGGGCTCAGGGCTTCCATTACTTCTGACTCCCCTTCTTCCTTGGTCAGAGATGCCAAATACTCCCCCAGAGACTCAGAAACATCTCTTGCAGAGATCTTTGACTTCACCACCTCTCCCTGTCTTTATCGGGTCTTGGCAATTCAGTCCTGGGACTGATTCCCTCTCCTGTGATGGGTCACCTTGACACTCCCCCCTCACCGCAGCTGGCAGTCCTGTTCTCATATTTCTCGAGATTATGTCCCTAGCGATTTCCATTTCTGCTTTGCTGTTTTAGAAGGCAAACCCCTCTGGGGCAGCGAGAGAGAACAGTGGGTAGGGTGCTTGTTTTGCATGTGGTTGATGTGGGTTCAATTTCCAACATCCCTCATGGTCCGCTGAGCCCTGCCAGGAGTGATCCCTGAATCCCTGAGCATAGAGTCAAGGAGTAAGCCCTGAGAACTTCCAGGTGTGCCCCCCCCCCCACCAAAAAAAGAGATAGTACAGTGGGTAAGGCACCTGCCTTGCACAGAGTCAGATCTTGTGCCTCATATGGTTCCCAGAGCACCAGCAAGAGTAATGCTTGAGCACCTCTGGGTGTGTTCTAAGAACAACAACAACAAAATAATGCTAAGCCAAAGAGATATAAGAAGATATGGGCTGGAGCCCATATACGCATTCAGGCGGTTCAGATTCAATTCCCAGTACCACATCTTCCTCCAAGGCCAGATCTAAGAGTACTCCTTGAACTGGGAGTTCTTTTTAGAAAGAAAAGAAACACAAATGGAAAACAAAAATTGCTCCTTGTTTTGTAGTGCCTGGGATCAACCCCAGGGACTCACACATGTAAAGTCTGTGCTCAACCTCTGAGCCATATCCCCAGTCCAAATTTTCAGTCTAGCAAAAGCACTGAGATAAAAGAAAAAAATAACAGAGTGATAGTACAGTGGCTAGGGTGTTTGCCTTACACATGGCTAACCCAGGTTTGGTCCCCAACATCCCATATGGTTCCCTGAGCACTGCCAAAAGTAATTCCTGAGTGTAAAGCCAAGACTACTCTTTGAGCATGGCCATGTGTGGCCCAAAAAGAAAAGGTAAAGTGGGCTGGAGAGATAGTACATGGAGTAAGGTACTTGCCTTGTATGTGTCAGACCCCGGTTCTATCCCTGGAACCACATAGGATTCCCTGAGCTCTGCCAGGAATAAGCCCTGAGCACTACTAGTCAGGCCCAAAAACCAAAAAGAAAAAAAGTATTCTCAATTAAAAAATTTATAAAATACTTAGGAATAAGTCTTAGAAGAATGGAACACAAAAAATTTACAGGATCTTATGGGGCTGGAGCAATAGCACAGCGGGTAGGGCGTTTGCCTTGCATGCGGCCAACCTGAGTTCAATTCCCAGCATCCCATATGGTCCCCTGAGCACCGCCAGGAGTAATTCCTGAGTGCAAAACCAGGAGTAACTCCTGAGCATTGCCAGGTGTGACCCAAAAAGCAAAAAAAAAAAAAAAAATCTTTTACAGGATCTATATGAAACCTTATTTGAAGACAAATCAGTATCTAAACAAAAGAAAAAATTATGAGAAAGAATATACTGAAAAAAGTGAATTCTGAGCTAAAATTATAATGCAATTCCAAGTAGAATACCAACAAGGATCAGAGATAGAACAGGGATTAAAGGGGATGCCTTGTATGTGGCTGACTGCTTTGATCACATATGGTTCCCTAATTATTACCAGGAGTGATCTGGTCCAGGAGCACAGAACCAGGAGTAAACCTTGAGCACCAAAAATTAATAAAAATAAAGTTTCAATCAGAGCAATAATACCTACAGTCAACACAGATTCAATCCTTTGCACCCCATTATAATTCCCTGAGCACCGCCAAGAGTGATCCCTAAGCAAAGAGCCAGGAGTCAACCCAGAGCACCAGTGTGGCCCAAAAACAAAAAACGTAATTTAAAAATTAATACTTAAATACCTTGGGACTGGGGCTGGAGAGAGCACAGTGGGTAGGGCGTTTGCCTTGCACGTGGCCGACCTGAGTTCGATTCGCAGCATCCCATATGGTCCCCTGAGCACCGCCAGGAGTAACTCCTGAGTGCAGAGCCAGGAGTAACCCCTGTGCCCTGTGTATTGCGAGGTGTGACCCAAAAAGCAAAAAAAAAAAAACCTTGGGACTGGAGAAATAGTACAACCAGTAAGGCACTTGCCTTTCACGTGGTCAACCCAGGTTTAGTCCCCAGCATTTCATATGGTCCCCTGAGTCTGCCAGGAATAAGCCCTGAGCACAGCCAGATGTGGCCCCCCCAAAATAATAAGTTGTGCGGAAGTTTTAGAGAATACTAAATGCCTAAAAAGAGCTAATGGGCTGGAGAGATAGCACAGCGGGTAGGGCACTTGCCTTCCATGTGGCTGACCCAGGTTTGGTTCACAGCATTCCATATTGTCCCCAACCACCACCAGGAGTGATCCCTGAGTGCAGAACTAGGAGTAAACTCCAAACATCGCAAGGTGTGACCCAAAAACTACAACAAAAAAGCTAATTGATCTTTTTCTCAGGTCATATTCATGCTCTGGGGCAAAGCTTGGTAGTGTTTGGGGATTATTCAGCTCTATAGAACCAACCAGGGCTCTCGTATGCAAAGAGTATGGTCCCTAAAAAATACATTTTAAGTATTGAATGAAACTGGGCTGAAGAGAGTGCAGGAGGTAAGGGGCTTACCCTGCACGCTGCTGACCCTAGTTCAAATCCCCAGCACCTCATATGGTCCTCTGAACACTGATGTGTATGGTCCCAAAATCAGAAAGGAAAAAGAAACTGACACAACTGGTAAGAAGTTGGAGTCCTAATTTATAACACACACACACACACACACACACACACACACATACACACACACAAGAATCAGAGTGAATAAAAAATGTAAACAAGGGTCAGAGAAATAGCTTAACAGACTGAATTCATGCTTTGCATGAAGGAGGCCCAAGTTCAATTACTGGCATTGCATAGTCCTCGGAGCACCAGTAGAGTATAGTCCAAAAACAGACCAAAAAAAAAAGTAAAGACCATACTGGGAGATTGAAGATAGCGGGTAGGATACTTGCCTGCACACAACCTAAACTCAATCCCCAGCACTTAATATGGTCCTCAAAGCCCTGCCAAGAGTGATTTCTAAGTGAAGAGCCAGGACCCTTTGCACCACTGAGTGTGGCCAAAAAAAAATTGGGCCGGGAGTTAGCTCAAACGGTTGGAGCACCAGCGGGTAGGGTGTTTGCCTTGCACGCGGCCGACCTGGGTTCGATTCCCAGCATCCCATATGGTCCCCCAAGCACCTCCAGGAGTAGTTCCTGAGTGCATGAGCCAGGAGTAACCCCAGTACATTGCCAGGTGTGATCCCTTCCCCCCCCCAAAAAAAAAGGTTTGGAGCACATGCAGAGCATACTGGATACCTGGGTTTAATCCTGGTTACCACAAGGTTACCTGAGCAAAAACAAACCAAAAAACCCCCATATAAACATGGGTCAGAGAGATAAACCACTTGCCTTGCACGTGGCTGATCCAGGCTCAATTCCTGGCACCCCATGTGGTCCCCCAAGCACAGCCAGGAGTAGGCCCTGAGTAAGCCCCAAGAAAACGAGAGGCTGAGTGTAGTCCCCAAATATATATATATATATATAACAATGCAAGGGTATCGAGTGACTAGAAATCCAGAAATGGCAACAGAATTAATGGATTATATAAAACATTTTTTTTCTTTTTGGGTCACACCCAGTGATGCTCAGGGGTTACTCCTGGCTTTCACTCAGGAATCACTCCTGACGGTGCTCAGGGAACCATATGGGATGCTGGGAATCAAACCTAGGTCGGCCACATGCAAGGCAAACGCCCTACCCTCTGTGCTGTCGCTCCAACCCCTATATAAACCATTTTAAGAAAAACCACAGGAGGGGCTGGAGCAATAGTATAGGGGGTAGAGTGTTTGCCCTTGTACTCGATGACCCAAGTTTGATCCCCAACAACCCATATGTTCCTCTGAGCCTTCTGGGAGTAATTCTTGAGTGCAGAGCCAGGAATAATTGCTAAACATTGCTGGGTATGGCCCAAAAGAAAGAAACCAGAGAACCAGATAGTACAGAGATTAAGGAGTACAGAGATTAAGCTGCTTCCTTTGCATGCAGACAACCCTGATTTGATCCTTAGCACTGCATATGCACCCCTCAAACATAGCTATGACTGATTCCTGAGCACAGAGCCAGAAACAACCACCGAACACCACCAGGTGTGGCCCAAACACCTAAATCATTAAGTCGGTAAAAAAAATAACACAATCTCAGGGCGAAAGCAAAAATATAACAGGTAGGATACTTGCCTTGTACACCACCGAGTTCAACCTTTGGCACCCAATGGCCCTGAGCACTCACAGCACTGATCCCTGAACACAGAGCCAGGAGTAAGCCCTAAGCACAGCTGGATGTGGCCCAACCCTGCCCCAAATTATTTTTTAATATAAAAAAATTTTCTAATAGAAACCACAGACTCAAGAGGCACACAATCAAATGGAGAAATTTTGCAAGATATGAGTATTAACTTATAATTTTCACAGAGCAATGCTTGAATTTTATAAATTAAAAGGGGGATAAAGACCCAAAGAGGTGGGGGAAAGACTTTTTTTTTTAAATAAATTAGAGCACTAAGAGGTGAAATACTGACACAAATACATAGAGTGGGGGGAAAAAATGCACAAAAGTATTCTTAATATCCAACTTCAGTTTACCAATGACCAAAACCCATGGGGTCAGGGAGATGGCTTAAAAGGCTAGAGCATACTTGCATCCTCCAGCTTTGCATGCTCAATCCCTGGCATCACATGGTTCCCCAGCATATCCAGGAACAACCCCTGAGCGCCTCCTGGAAGAAGGTCCTGAGCACTGCTGGCTATGGCCCCACAACAGAAATAATAACCAAAACCCAAAGATTGTGTGCCTGCTCATGTGCATATGTGATTTACATTTTATTTTATTTTGGAGGGACCCTATGCATCAGTGCTGGATGCTACTCTCGATTTAATATTAGGGCTCACTTAGTTGTATACATAGTAGACACTTCCTAAGCACCACTGTGCAGAGGGGTGCAGACTTCCCACCTCTTACACTGAGCAGCCTAAGTAGTCTAAGTGAAGGATGATGGCAGCTCAGACACCGAAAGGAAGACATCTAAGCTGGGGATAGCCCCCCGAAGGCCCAGTAACCCCGAGATCACCCAAATCCATCCCCCCTTCTCTTCCAAATGCTCAGAAAGGAACAACCCACACGCAGAGCTCCATGTGTGATATATATTTTATATATATATATGTATGTATACATATATATAATTGCTCTCGATTTATTGTACTTTATCCTCTTTTTACAGTAGATCTGACACAGGCATTAAATAACTGCAGAGAGAGACCACTGGGGCGAGGGAGCATAGGAAAGCAGGGAGTTCCCAAGGCAAGAAACAACTCCAGCAAGAGAAATAGAGGAATGAGTCCATCTGTGGGTGGGGTGAGGGGCTGCAGCATCAGAAAAGAAAGGGGAGATTAGCAGTAAGGAGTAAAGGAGGAGAGAAGTAGAAAAGAGCCAAAGGTAGAAAAAGAACTAAAATACCTCTAACTTCAGAACACAGGAGACGCCTCAAGTAACAATCTATGGACACTAGGAGGTGGTTTAAAAACGCAAAGGAGTCTGAGAGAGAGTAGCCAAGAAAATTTGGAGACTAGAGGGAGGGGAGGATTTACCACGTTCAGGGTGGCATGCAGAGGGAAGGTAAGAGATACCCATCAGCTGATAACATGCTACAGGCAGCCAGAAAGACAACAGCGGAGGCAGAGCTGGACCCAGGAGGAGGAGGCGGAATCGTCCCATAGCCAGTTGACGTTTCCAAGGTGGCCACTGGGGACCCAGCCAAAACAGCTGCCCCTCCCCCAGGCTCCCTGGGAAGTGGTTCTTGAAGGATATTCTGGGAAATGGAGCAGGGGGAAGGGAGCCCTGGCAAAACAAAGTGAATATTCAGCCTAGGTCAACCCCACCCCTCTGAGAAGTGCCCACTTGAGTGATAGGAGGAACCAGGAAAAGAATTTTCAAGAATCAACAAGGACTTCTTTTCCCCCACCTACCCTCATTCCCAGCTCATGCAATCACCACAGGGAGTGTGAGGCGCTAAGAAGCAGGGCAAGACCACAGAGCCAGCCTCTCCTCACAGACAGCCTCGGGAGGGAATGGAGAAAGGGGAGGTGGACAAAGTTCTGCCTTGGGAGCCAGAAGCTGTTGGGCAGACATGAGCTGTCAGGGAAAGCGGGAGACAAGGAAGGCCCAGAGGCTGAGCTGTGGGATGAAAGAGCTGGATTGCCATATATCTGTGCGTATGTCATATGCGTACATATTGTGCGTGAGGATGGCAAGAGGGTGCATGAGTGGGAAGCATGTATATGTGAGTGTGTGTGGACATGGACTGGGGACAGTAAAGGCAGATGGGAAGCATTTTCAAATAGTTCTCAGGGCATTAGAGGGCAGAAAAGGGGGGAAATTGTGGAGACAACTGACTCACAGCTAAACTATAAGGAAAAAGGCTCCGGACTCCTTCGGCGACTCCCTTAGCATCCCATCTCCCTATATGACTGAGCCAGGGTTGGGAGAAGGTGGTGGGAAATGTGTGTAGCCAGGGAATTGCCAAGGACATCAGGCTAGATTCAGAAGTAAAGGAGGGTGTGAGACTCTGACAAGTCATAGCTCTGTTATAAAAAATACCTTTGGGGTGGGTGAGGGAGGGATCAGGCAAGGTCAGGGACATTCCAGAAGCATCCATAGGAAAGAAGTGGGGGTGGGAAGAAGGGGCCTCAGGTTTTGTTGATGCGGAGTTTGAAGGCAACACGGCCAGCAAACTTGTCTCGTTCATCATCCGTGGCGATGTTGACAGCGTTGATGCGGCATTCTACGTTCACCTCCACATTGGGGGTCACGTTCAGGAACTTCACAGCCACGAGAGGCTGTGTGTAGTTCACCTAGACCAGAGAAGAGTGAGATGACCTAGATGCATGGAAGTCCACCATGGACCAAGGACTTCTGCCCCCTAACTTGGCCAACAGCCCAAGCATGTCACAGGACTTACGTGAAACTTTTTGCCATAGTAGGGAAAGTACATGAGGTCAATGTTGCCATTGGCAGGGAACATGACAAAATGGCCGAGATTCTCAGCATCTTCATCTCTCTTTGAGGGAGCACAGGAGAGTAAGAGAAGAACACGTTAGGCATGGCAGGAACCCAGAAGCGAGTCAGAGTCAGACTTCCCTTTGTTCTCTCACCCCAATCACTCTACCTCTAATCTGCTACCCTCAAACTATCTGTTTGTGTTTGCACGTGCTCAGGAGGGAGTGCCCTGGCTCTCATCAGCCCCGAAAAGATCCCTCTGATGCTGGGCCTCCGATTCCACTCCCACCCCAAGCTCTTACCCCGTCCTCAGAAATTGGTTTCTGCAGCTAAATCAAAAAAGAAACGATAAATAAGTATGGGTGCAGGAGGAAACGAGGGGTGCTGGAGAGGGAGAGGAGATAATTTCTAGAGGAAAGAGGAAGGGGCTGGTTGGGGGGGAGGGTCCTAAGCACAACTCAGTGGTGGCAGATAGTGCCAACTGATCAGAAGCTACCAGAGACCTAAAAAGAAGCGAGGGGCAGGAGAGATATGGGAGGGCAAGTGTAAGTCAGGGTTATCAGCATACAGAAGAGAAAGTGGAAGGGTCAGGGAGAGCAGCCAGGGACCAGAGTCTGGGTGGAGTCAGTGGTAACTATTCACACAAGAGCAGGTTTCTGCAACCTAGAGAGAAACGAGAGGGCGCTGCTTGGGATTTGAATCAGATGGCACCCTCTCTTACCCCCTTGTCCCTGGGGTGCCGGGGCCTCTGGGAGCGAAGAATATAGGAAGAGAGAAATGAATTATATAGAAATCGTGGCGACAAGCCAGTGGCAAGCAGACAAGACCCAACTCACTCACCTTTCCTGCACAGGTAACATTCATGCTCTGGTTTTTTCCTGCATAGAAGTTGATGACCTGGAGTAAGGAAAGTATATAGTGAGGGTTCCCAAAGGAAGATATCAAAGACACATGATCCAGCCTTCCAGGTACAGATCTCAGCTGCATATATCCTCATCCCTCTTGTTTTCTCAGCAATTCAAATATCCAAAAATCTTTCTCATGCCCACTTGCCCGAGTGAAAGGAAACTGCTGTCAGCTCCCTTCTCTTTTCTCTTGGGAACCAAGATCATCATGGTTACCCGGTTCATCTTGATGAAGACACAGGGCTGCCCGGTGCTGTAACCATAGTGGGTGGGGTCCCCGATGCCAGAGCAGTCACCCAATTGGGTGCGGTTGAATTGGCAGGCACGTTTCGGATAGTTGAGAACCCCGTTATCTGGCTGTTCATAATAGCGCCCAGGGCGGCAAACATCATTCTTTTGGGCTTGGAGGGAGTCGTTGTAAGCTAGGGAAGTGGGAAAAAAAGAGTCACAGGCCTGTTATTCCACTTCCAAGTCCCCACTCCACTAATATCCTGGACAGCCACATTCTCGGCCCCACACTCACGCTCCAAGAATTTGTTGAGCTTCTGAACATGCTGATTCCAGCTTTCAGTGTCACTGACGTTCACGATCACGTCAAGGTTCTCCGTCTTGGGACGAATCATCAAGCCTACAGCCAACAGGAAGGAGTTGGGAGTGTATGTGTGTGTGTGTGTGTGTGTGTGTGTGTGTGTGTGTGTGTATGTGTGTAGAAGATGTATAGAGGGAACGAGGATTGAAGTACATGCTTTATATTCAAGAACTCTGAGTTCAGGGACATAGCACAGCAGGGAGGGCGTTTGCTATCTGGAGGACAACAGACAGGACGAGAATAGGTCATCTTCACAGGAGAAAGAGGTATGGAAATAATGATTTGCTGCCCTCCACCCCACCAAGCAGTTCTAAATTGTAGGGAAAGAAAGGCAGAACTCAAGAATGCCCATCAAATGATGATTGTATCATCAGCACCAAACCTCTAAAACCTGCACTTTTTGGAAGCTTAGGGGCAGAGCAACCATTAGAGTCACTGGTAAGGCAGCCTTATCACTCACCTGGGGTGACCAATCGGTCCTGGTACTTCGGGGTATGATCTGAGACAGTCTGCAGCATCACCCACATGGTGAGGGTGAACATGGCCGTGAGGAAGCCATAGAAGACAAGGTAAAAGAGGAGGATGAAGGCTAAGGAAGAGAAGGAAGCAGGATTAGCAGGTCCCAAGTCTTCCACCACGAGCTGTCTATACCCCCAAACACCCCTCACTCTCTCAGAGATTCTGCACTGGGGATTAGCTGAAGAGCTGAGGAATATTGCAGATCTTTCCCCAGGGCGCAAAGTGAGACAAGCTGGAAAGGAACAGTTGTGTCTGGCTTTCAGCCATGACGTCCTGGCCCCTCCCACTTCTGGGGCACAGAGAAGCTTTGGCTTTGTGAAGGCCACTGGAGATCCAAAGTCTCATTGCTGGGACAACTCCAAGTATAGGCCAAAGTCATTTGTCTCAAATTACATTCCCAATTTCTCAACTATGCATGACCCCAAAAGGGCCCAACATCTATTGCCACTGTACTGATACTCAGGTTTAAAGCTATCTTAGTACAATTGTTTATTTTTGGTGGTGCCAGGGATTGAACCCGGGGCCTTGAACATAAAAAAACAAGTGTTCTACTATCAAGCCACAGTCCCAGCCTACACAACATTTTTGTCTTTCTGGATCACATCCAGCAATGCTCTAGGTAACTCCTGGCTCAGTCCTCATGTCTGGCCATGACAGGGAACATGAAGTGCTGGGGTTGAACCCAGGGTTAGATTTTTGTTTTGGGGGGGTTATTTTTCATTTTGGGTTTTGGACCACACCCATGGAGCCAGTGTTACTCCTGGCTCTGCACTCAGAAATCACTCCTGGTAGGCTTGGGAGACCATCTGGGATGCCGGGGATCAAAGCTGGGTGAGCCATATGCAAGGCAAACACCCTACCACAGTACAGCGGTATTGTGGCTCTGGCCCCTGAACCCATGCTTTTTATTTTATTTATTTATTTAGCTTTTTGGGTCACACCCAGTGATGCACAGGGGTTACTCCTGGCTCATGCACTCAGGAATTATTCCTGGCTGTACTCGGGCGACCATATGGGATGCTGGGAATCGAACTCTGGTTGGCTGCATGCAAGGCAAACTCCCTACCTGCTGTGCTATCGCTCCAGCCCCACCCATGCTTTTTAATGCAAACCATGCACTTCAATCCTTTGGGCCCAGTACAACATTTTCTGGGGGATTGAGGGGCTTTGGTCATACTTGGTAGCGAGCCTGGATCGGTGTTCAGGGTTCTCAGGGAACCATGAGGTACCAGGGTCAGCCAAGGCAAGGCAAGTGCCTGAACTCCTGTATTATCTCTCTGGCTCCCACAATTTCTTAAGCTGGCACTGTTCACCATTCACAAGCAAACAGCCTCCCATTCTACCCCTCAGGTTATGGACTCAAATAGCAAAATCTCTCTCTTGGCACAGCACAGAAGACAAAAGTTGAGTGCTGCTTGAGCCTAGCTATAAAATCCTTGAGACAGCTGTCCAGAATCCTCAACTGTCACCTACCCCGAACCCAGGCACAACGACCAGGGCAGAAGGAGCCAGGGTAAAGGTAGAATGTCCAAAACTCCCTGACAATGAGGAGGCCCTTGGTGGATGACCTGACTTTTCACCCTAATGAAAGTTCCAGTGCTCCCACTAACCCAGACCCGGGTCTCTCCTCTCAAAAGCTCTTCCCCCCACGAAGCCCCCCTCCCAAACAATCGCTAGTTTCTCTGGTCCTCGAGGCTTCTCCTGAAGTCCCAATTCCATCTGAGCAAAGGCTCCCTGGAACCCACCTCACGGGGTCTCAGTGGGTGAATCGCAAATTGCGTCGCACACATCCCCTGTGCTTCCCACTTGGAACACCCCTTTTGTGAGAATCCGCGGGCCGAGCACTCATGCCCACCCCCAAATCCTGAAGCGGACACCGTCCCTGTGTCCCGGTTGGTGTGGGAGGGAGGGTCTCCAGCCTCTCCAAACTCAGACACGCCGGGCTGGATGCTGTGCACATCTCCCCACCGCTGACCACTCCCCTCCCTCCTCCTGCGACATCTGAGCTGAACATTCAGCCTCAAAAATCTCCTCCTGCCATCCCGCCCCCAACAGCCCACCACCCACCAAGCAGGCACAGAAGGTTCCAGAAGCTCCGCGGTGGGAGTCAAACAACTTCCGCTGTCAAGAACCCCTCCTCTAACACATCCCCCCAGCCCACCCCCACCCAGGCGCCCGACGTCTCCAAGACCCGCCCCCTCATGAACGTTCCCAGGGTCCAGGGGGTGGGCATGAGCCAAAAATAGACCAGCTCGGCTCGCCGAAGTTGGCGGGGCCGGAGCGGCCCTGGGGGAAGGGGAGCCCCGCGTGAGCCGGCGGCGCGGACACGGCGCGGCGCCCCGAAGCCCCGCGCGGGGGGCGGCGGGGGGCCGCGGGGGCCGCGGGGGCAGGAGGGCGGCGCTGACCTACTTTCTCCGCCTCGGCAGCGGCGGGTCCGATTAGACCCGCGCCTGCCCCCCCCCCCCCGCTCCTGCCCAGCAGGGGGGCGGCCGCCCCAACCAGGCAAGGGGGCTGGGCCTCGCGAGCAGAATTTCCTACCGCGCGGGCGTCCCCGGGCCCCCGCAACCCCAGCCCTCGAGCCCCCTGCCCCGCATACCCCAGCTGGTCCCGGTTCGGCCCATGAACTGGTGCGTCCTGGGGTTCCACACGAACTCCTTCCACTCCTCAACCACCTGCCCGCAGCTCTTCTTCTCTTTCCGGATGACCATCTTGGCAGCAGGATCGAGTCCCGCCCGGGTGGAGGACTACAGAGAAGCTGGGTTACGGGGTGCTAAGGTCCCTCCACGGACCGAAGCGCGCTGGGAGCAGAGACCGAGGGGCTGGGAGAGACCACCCGCGATGCAGTTGCAGCAGATCCCCGGTGCACGGCAGCGCGCTGCAGGCAGGTTGCTGGCAGGAAGGCGACTGATCCTAGGCCCCCCGAATGCGATGAAAACGAGGGGTTGTCGGGGCAGAGAAGGCTAAAAAGGGGAAGGGGTGCGAATGCAGCTTTACCCCCCTCCCCTCCCCCCCACGCACAAACCTCCTTAAAAAAAAAGGACGCAAAAATAGACGGCTGGAAAACCCGAGTGAAGCGTGGAAAAAATCGGGGTGCAAAGAGGCAGGAGAGGTAGCGCCCACCCCGAAATCCAAGATGCAGAAAAGGATCCGGGGGCTCTCCGGCGAGCACAAACGGCCGCGGAGGTGGGGCGGGGACGCGTAGCTGGGGTACAGCCAAGAGTGGAGGGTACTGGGGCAAGAGGCTCCGCTCCTCAGCAACGAGGGGACGGCGCGCACTCCGGGCAGTCTTTATACTCGGCGGCTCCGTGTGTGCCCGCCCCTTCCACCCCAGAAGCCTCGCCCCCTAGAAGCCTCGCCCGCCCGTTCATCGCTGGCCCGGGCAAGCTTATACATATGCAAATAAGAAGCGAGAGCTGGCGCTGGAGAGAGGCAGCAAGGGTTATTTATCCGGCCCCAGAAAATCTCTCTCTCTCTCTTTTTTGGGGGACCACATCCGGCAGAGCTCAAGGCTTACTCCTGGCTTTTTACTCAAAAAGGAGTTTGGTGGACCATATGGGCTGTGGGGAATTGAACCCGGCTAGGCCTAGTGCAAGGCAACCGCCCTACCTTGCCTCACCAGGAAATCTCATACACACACACACACACACACACACACACACACACACACACACACGCTGGTGGTGGAAGGAGAGCTCCAGAATATAAGCCCAGTGGGGATGGAAACTAGAATAGGTTACATAGTGCTAGTTAGGTTATATAGTGGTGTGGGTTATATAGGTTATATAGTGGCCACCACGGGAGGAAATTGCCCTTGAAGGAACTGATATCTGTCCAGCAACACCTTCATCTTGTGTTTGTTTGCTTTTGCTTTTTGGGTCACACCCAGAGACGCACAGGGGTTACTCCTGGCTCATGCGCTCAAAAATTACTCCTGGCGGTGCTTAGGGGACCATATGGGATGCTGGGAATCGAACCCAGGTCAGCCGTGTGCAAGGCACACCCTACCCGCTGTGCTATTACTCGAGCCCCAACACCTTCATCTTAACTCACACAGTCTCTTCTCCCACCGCCCAGTTGTCTCCCCCTGAAGACCCTCCCCATCTTCCTTACCACACCTCTGAAGCACTCCTAGCGCCACACCCTTAGCTTCCAGTCTTGGCCCTGAACCAGTTCTCCTACTTAGATGCTATCTCTTCCTCCTCATTTATCCATTTATGCCAATTAAACATTTACTGAGCACTTAATACTCACCAGAGACCTTATACAACTTCAGCCTGCAGAGGTAAAATTTCTGTTTTTCTATTGGGACCAAAAGACCCACAGTTCATAGGTCTGAGAGATACTTCAATGGATCAGAACGCAAGGCCCTTGTTTAATTCCTGGCACCATGTGATTCCCCGAGCAATGACAGAGCACTGCCTGAGCATGAAGGGCACCAGAAATCCCTGAGGACCATTGTTTGTGCAAATCACCACCCCCACCAAAAAAAAAAAAAAGACTATTAAGATTCAGGAGCTGGGGGCGGAGCCATAGTACTATGGGTAGGGTGTTTGCCTTGCATGCAGCCAACCCAGGTTCGATCGCAGGTATCCCATATGTTCCCCTGATCACCACCAGGAATAATTCCTGAGTGTAGAGCCAGGAGTAACCCCCAAGCATTGCTGGGTGTGGCCCAAAAAGCCAAAAAAGAAAACTCAGGAGCTGGATTCATTCTCCTAGCATCTCATATAGTTCCCCAAGCTTTCCAGGAGTGATCCCTGAACACAGAACCAGGTGAAAATATTGAGCACAACAACCAAAAAAAAAAATCATTGGGGAGCCAGAGTGATAGTAGAGTGGGTAGGCCGTTTGCCTTGTATGTTCTGACCTGGATTCAATCCCCAGCATCTCATATGGTCCCCCCAGCAAGCACCATTGGAGTGCAGAACCAGATGTAACTCAGGAGTAACCTCTGAGTATTGCCAGGCATGAGCCCCAAAAAGATTAAGAGAGAGTGAGAGAGAGACAAAGAAAGAGACAGAGACACACACACACACAGAGCGAGAGAAAGAGAGAGAGAGAGGAGAGAGAGAGGAGAGAGAGAGAGAGAGAGAGAGAGAGAGAGAGAGAGAGAGATTTCTCCAGAGTAGAAACGGTAAGCAAAGAAACAGACAGTGAGATCTGTGTTCAAGGTAGAGCACAGACTGGAAAAGCAAGCCTTCTTACCCGTTCTTCTCTTCTGCAAATAAACATAGATGGCTGAAAGTACAAATTATCATATTTATCTCTCTGTCTCTGTGTCTCTGTGCTTCTCTCTCTCACATCCTTAGTAGTGCTCGGGGTCTATCCCTAGTTCTGTGCTGGGGCTTCCTGTGGTGCTAAGGAAACTGCAGTTCTTGGAATGATCCAGGGCCTCTTCCATGCACTGCCAGTCCTTTTATCTATTTTGCCAGGAATTCAAACTGGAGTCTCACATGTATGCAAGGCAAGTACCTTAGCTCCTATATTATCTCTCTTCTCTGGCCCCCTATGTCTCTTTGAAAATCTTGACACTTTCCCTTAGAGAAAGTTTTCTGTTGACTCTAAATTCTTAACTTTAGTACTCAACAATTTATATTCTCCGCCTCCCACTCCAAACTCCTCTGGTTCAGGTCATCAATAGAATAAGGCCCATGCTCAGAATGGTATCAAACCTGCTTAGTTTATTACTGTCATCATCTGAAAGTATTATTATTACAATTATTAATTGTTATTAATTGCTGGAGCATAGTACCATGGGTAGAGCACTTCCTTTGTACCCGAGTTTGATCACCGGCACCCCATATAGTCCCACTGAATGCAAAGCTAGGAGTAAGCCCTGAGAATAACTGGGTATAGCCCAAAAACCTTAAAAAAAGAAAAGAAAGGGTCAGAGAGAGTGTACAGCAAGTAATGTGATTCCTGAGTGCAGAGCCAGAAGTTATCCCTGAGGGGCTGGAGCAATAATTGCATGTGGCCGACCCGGGTTTGATCCCCAGCATCCCATATGGTCTCCTGAGCACTTCCTGAGTGCAAAGCCAGGAGTGACCCCTGTGCATCGCTGGGTGTGGCCCAAAAAGCAAAATATAAATAAATAAATAAATAAAAACCACACACAGAAGTTACCCCTGAGCATCACCAGGTGTGACTCAAAAACAAAAGAGATTAATTATGAATTTTATCTTTAAACTTGTCCTTTGTGCCTGAAATCTGATGGGACAACAGAGCATGCACGTGAACAAAAGAGATGTGTGTCAACACCATCTTGTTCACATAGAATGTGAATAAAATGCTGTAAATGTTCATGAGTCCAAAACTTGGAGGGGTAGGAAGTGGCAGAGGAAGGGAGGGACACACCTGGTCACATTCCAAAATACTGTCAAGGCAAGCAAGTAATGAGCCCCAAAAAGAGCAAGAGAGAATACTCATACTGTCAAGGTAAGCAAGTACAACAGAATGAGAGGCCACACTTTCTGTTGGATGCAGAACTTGCTTTAAACACAAAGAGTACAGGGGGTAAAGCACATGCTATACACGCAGCTGACCGTGATTCAGTCCCCAGCACTGAGCCCTGTCAAGAGTGATCCCTGAACACAGAGCCAGAGTGAGCATTGCCAGATGTGCCCCCACAAACATTAAAAAAAAAGAACACAGAAAGAAGGTATTAGGACAGGTTTCTTAAGCTCCCCACCTTTTGCCCCTAGAAATAGAACATGGCACCGCTTCTCAATCTCAGATGACTTCTCAGATGTGCTTGATTTTGAGTTAATTTGGTTTCATTTTGTTTTTTGGCCACACCTAGTGGTGCTCAGAACTTATTCCTGGCTCTGTGCTAAGGGTTACTCCTGGCAGGCACTAGGGACCATATGGGATTTGGAGCTCAAACCAGGTCAGCTGCGTGCAGGACAAGAGCCCAACCTTGCTGGATTATCACCCTGCCCACGATTTTGAATTCAATTTTGGTCTTGCATTCAGAAATATTTTACTGCTGCCAAGTATTTTATTACCCCCACTCCACAGTCCCTTATGGAATTGAGGGCTGCACAGGATTGTGTGTGTGTGTGTGTGTGTGTGTATGTGTGTGTGTTTGGGGCCACACCAAACAGTGCTCAGGTGTTACTCCTAAGTCTGTACTCAGGCATCATTCCTGACAGTGCTTAAGGGAATCCTATTTGGTGCTGGAGACTGAACCAGAGTCAGCCATGGAATTCAAACCGTTGTCATGCCCCATGGAACAATAGAATGAACAAGGCTGAGCTGCCCACGATAGAGTGGCAGGCTAACCCTGCCAGGAGTGATCCCTCAGCACAGAACCAGGAGTAATTCCTGAGCACAGTTGGGTGTGGCCCAAAACGAAAACAAAAAGTTAAAGAGCAAGGATCTTACTCTGTCACCTTCATCACAACATGAGGCATGTATTTCCTTACTAACTCTCCGACTCTCCTTACATTTCTTGAAATAACTTAAAAAGTTAAATAGGGGCTGAAGAGGAGAGATAGTATGGCAGGTAAGGTGCTTACCTTACACGTAGCTGACTGGGGTTCAATTCTCAGGAACCCACATGTTCCACTAAATACCACCAGGAGTAATTCCTGAGTGCAGATCCAGGGGTAACCCCTGAGCATTCTCAGGTATGGCCCAAAGACAAAATCAAAAAAAGGATTAACAGCAGATGAGAAGTTAGGAAGAAAAGAGGAAATATTTTTCTTTTAGTACCTTTAACAGTACTTTTCCCCTACTTTTTGAACAGCAGTTCTGTATTTTTATTTTGCATTTAGGTCTTGCGAATTATGCAGCCAATCTTGCTTCAGTCCTTTTTTTTCTTTCTTTCTTTTTTTGGGAGAAGACTGGATTAATTTTCTGAAAATACGGTTTTAATTAAGTAATTAGTCTAGTCTTCAGTGGATTCCTCCTACTCTCGGGATGGAGTACTAATTCTGCAACCCAACCTTCAGGATACCCCACAGTCTGCACATGGCCTGGGTACCCAACCTCCTTTCCCAAATA